TGCCTACATGATGGAGATGAAGTGAGTGATGGGCCCATGCCCCATGCCTGATCTAAAGTTTTTCCTTGTGATCACATGCCGTGATGTTGCCACAGAGGAATGTGTCCCGACAGGGCTTAGTTGTAAGTTAGAAGAAATGTCTGGAATGAGAAACGCGAGCTTGGAACCGAGTTTGAGTTGTTTGACGCAAGTGTGACAGGCAGTGGCAATCGTAGCTGTGTGCATCCTGCCCTTTTCTGACACGGTGGGTCTTTGTACTGCTCGAGGCGCACAACTCTCATGGCTCCTAAGCACCGTCAGACAAGTCTTTTCTCGTTCGCATGCGGAGCTAGACTAGCAGCTGGAGATTCCTGCTACAGGTCGTTCTTCTTAAGACGGATTAGCCACGGATAGGTTTGGGCGACGAACATCGGATCGAGCCATGGACATTCTGCCTCAAAATGTGAGGCAGCTGGTGCAGGGCGATGCATTGAATTGTGTTGTGTGGTTCGAGTGGATAGCTTATGACAGGGCTGAGCACATCCCGCAACTTGGATGGTCGACGCGCGGTCATCATGTGTCTTGGCTTTAGAAAAGCATTTTTAAAGCTGCAACAGCAGAAGTGTGGAGCTTGTAGCTATGACTTCTGTGTCTCTGCCATCGCTCTTGGTTTTACATGCTAGATTCGGGTAGATTCGCCCTCTGGGTCGCCGAGGTGCTTGGAGGGAGCTTCGTGGACGGCAAGCGAGCGACGCAAGCGCCGCAAGGAGGAGGCTCTGTGTGGCGTTTCCTGCTCGTCTTCGCCCCCAAAAACGTCTCGAGGCCTGGCAGGCTTCGGCCGTGCATCGGCCTGCTTTGCAGTGGTGAGCTGCGTTGCGGTCCTCGCCCCCAGAATGCTTTTTGAGATGTGACGAAGAAGATACAGAATGACTGACTCACAGGCAGCATGCCGCGTCCAATCGTGATTGGCATTGCACCTTTTGAGGCAAGGGCCAGATGCCGAGTGGCTCGCTTTTCCAGCAGCCTGGCTGCATCTGAAGCATTCGTCGTATGCGTTTGCCTTGTGATGCGAGCTGTCCGGTAAAAGCTGCGAACATTCTCGCATGAGGTCACGCCTGCAACTTTGCTGGAGGGCGAAGTGAGGGACGCGATTCGAAGAGTTTATGCCTGAGCGTAGGATCTGTTTTTTCGGTAGCATGGCATCTCGTGGCTCTGAGGCTCGGAGAGGCTGTCAGACCTGGCATGGAGCCCAGGGCCAAGGAGGTCGCGACGTGCTTTGCACTTCCCGCGCTGCAGTTTCTGCAGCTTCCACTTCCTGATGCTGTGCTGCTGTCCGGGGTGTTGGCACGAGACCAGTCGAAGGTGCAGACTGGTGCGTGATAGTGACGAAAATCTTCTGCATGAGTTCAGGGCTGTGCAGGGCGCGGGCTTGAGACAGGTTCGCATGCTGCCGCCTCCAGCATCTTCCATGCCTCGCTTAGCCATCGTGCCGGTCGTGGAGGGATCCTCAGCTGAGTCTCGCGTCAAAATGCACCCATGCATGTAGCGATGTGTTGTCCTCGATGCTAGGACGGCAAGGAGGCATCCTGCGTACCGTTTCATGACCGGGATGAAGAAAGCCTGGAAACGCTCAGGCGGCCGGAAATGTCTTCGTTTGCACGTCCAGGGGAGACCCGCTTTGCTTGGAGGCGCTTCTCGCCTGGGCCACTGCAGCCTCACACGGCTCCTGGCAAAGCACTGAAGTGGTTCTGGCAGCGGGCACCACAGGCTGGAGAACCGAGCGAAGGCCCAGACCATCAAGCGACTTTGAACTGGAGGATTTCGAATCACTCTGCAAGTATGAGCACGTGCGGGCTGCTTGCGGCGGTCGGAATCCCAATCGTGACGACAGTCGATGAGCAGATTTGTAGTATTCTGCAAGGCACGCAGTCCTTGGAGGAGCAGGCGATTTGAGCATTTTTGGTTACCCAAACCCAAAACGGCAGCTTTCTGAGCAGGCAGAGATCCTCCTGTTTAATGTCTATCAGCGCTTCTGCCAGCAGACGAGCGCGCCGCCAAGGCGGGTCAGGCCGTCGCAAGAGGGGTTCCATGTGCTGTAGCCTGTGAGAGGCCATCCTCATGCGACGAGAGGGATTACGACTTGTGCGCCTCGCTGTCTTCTCACAGAAGCCTCATCTGCACGACATCTCCGAGCAGAGGTACATATCAGTTTTTCAAGATGCTCCAATGAAGGTGCCTTTCAGAGCTTTACTTTCGGACCCTCTCCACGTTTTTCTGTGGGGTTTTGAATCCTCTTCAGATTCCGTTTCGTTGGATGGCAGTTAGTCGCATTTCGCGTTTCAGACTTCGGTGTCCGAGGGGCTGTAGAGAGGGGGGCGGCCAAGAAGTGATGGAATGAGGGGAGATCGGAGAGAGGGGAGGGCGTTGCAGCCGACCTAAGTGCCGGCTTGTTTGGCTGCTTGGTTTTGTGACTGTCCGGGGTGAAGTTAGTTTGTCTTCATTCCGGCAGGCTTTGCATCAGACTTGCAGCGCCGACTTCTGCATGATCGCAGAGGCTCTTTTCCTTCCACACCTTGTCTCGGACTGTCCCCTCCGGAAGGCGCACGTGCTTGGATTGGCCAGCGGCACAGCCGGCTTTCCCAGGCCATGTCCGGTTGTGAGCGCCCAGACGAGCGTTGATTCGAGCAGGTTGGCTCAAAAGGACGCCCGATCGATGTATTCGAGTGCAATGGCCCGAGTTATCCCTGTCGCAGAGACGTGGAGTCATCCTGAAGCGCAAGGCCATGCGCTTCGGCTATGCCGTCCGGCAGGCCGAAATCCGATTCCAGGTCCATGGGGTTGGGTTCAGGAATGTTCAGGATCTCTGTCACCCTGGAAGATACCTTTGCTGGACAGGTCGATGGTGCTGCGGGCACCTTCGTACCACTACCCCTTGAAGCTGAAATGGTTCGTGAGGAGTGTCGCCCGCAGCTCACCTGCATCGGGCCGAAGTATGAGGCGTCCCGACTTCAGGAGCTCGAGTACTTGTGGACAAAACCTACGGTGCAAGGACGGTTGAGGGCAGCTTACTGAAGAAGCCGGGCAGCCAGCATGACAGCCACAGATGGCCAGGTGAAAAGGGTTCATCAAGTGGAAGCTCGTGTGAGGCATCGGTTGCGCTGTGATGGTTTCTTGGTCCTAGTGAAACCCAGAAAACATCACAGCTGGTCGCACCTGGTACAGGATCAGCTGAGTAGCTCCCTCGGCTCGCTCACAAGCTGCATCGGACATTCGCTCTCAGCCGGCCAAGGCGATGCAGAAGCGGCGCAGCAGAGCCTCCAAGAGGCAAGTCAGGGCTTAGTTCGGGCCGGTCTCTTGCTTCTCTTGGATGGAAGGTGTTTAGCCGATTGAAGCGAATCGGCGAAACAAAGCCCGCACTTGCCACGTGAGCCTCTGCGCCGCGCTTCTGAAGCTGGAGCAGCTGCAACTGAGTTCAAGCAATCCTGATCCGAGAGGTACCTCGGATGGCTCGGGAAATTCGACCCTGAGGCATCTGAGAAGCTGTGCAGGCCGACTTGTCAAACTCAGCCCTCTGAAGGCCTTGTCCATGCTGTCCAATCCAACAGCGGCCATTGCCATCGCAATGAAATATCAGGTGCTTTGGATGCATGCTGCTTTTTACTGTGGCCGTGGATGTGGCAAGTGGTAGGCCGACTCTGTCTGGGGTGCAGCGCAGGAGGCTCCGTCTGCTAGGATCGGTGTTGCCACCTTGCACACTCTTCCAAGAAGGCGAATGATCTGACCGTTACAACAACTCCATCGGACATGCTGGAGGCCTTGTTTCGAAGTAAACAAAGTCTTCTTTCAAATATCCCTTTAGTAGCCAGCTCCTGGAGGCAATCCTTCTGGGTGCTTGGCTTCATGATTGCGATGCTGACGTTCGCGAAGCGCGCTTGAGGCAGTGCAGTCAGATTGCTTGCAATGCCTCTCCCTAAAACTCCTTGCGCTCTAGGCTACAGGCTCGCGAGCAAGGCCGGGCTATTTTGCAACCGCAGCGGTTCCTGAACTCGGGTAGGATTCAAAGCTATATACCACGAGCAGGCTCGTAAACGCCTCTTGGTGGAGAAGGCGGAGAGTCGTGCGGAGTTCGCAGAGGGCTGTTGGCTTGCCGTCAGCAGCCCCCGACCAGACGCGGGGTGTTGTCTGGCTTGTACAAAACTGCAAATTCACTCGTTCCAGCAAGCGCCTGCCTGTGCAGCGAGCTTCATTTTCCGTTTGCTTCATGTGGTAATGCTCACATCAAGGCTGTACAGAGTCTGAGTCACCAACCGCCAATTCGAAGGAGGTTTGGGATGCTCCTTGTTTGATTCCCTAGCCCTGCAAGTCGGGATTGGCGAGGGGATGTCTCCACGATATGCATCCCAAGCCTCTGCGGTGCATCAAAACTGTGGTCGTCTTGGAACGCATCTTGGAGATCTTGGAACTGAGGTCTCGCTGGGAAGACATGGCGACCACAGTAGAAGCAATTGTCTATTATTTCAGCTCCAATTCCGCGCATCCAAAAACCTCCAGGCAGCCCGGGCATGTCACGAGCAGCAGCGAATAGCTTGACTAAAACTCTTAGCCCTAAAAAGTCTAAACCCAAAACGCCAAACCCTAAGAACTCTAAACCCTAAACCCTCTTGGGACGTTGATGCCAACCGCGTTGTCCTTCTCCGCAGCTGACAAGACTAGCCTCGCGCGATATTCTGCTGACCACGGCAAGGCGATTGCAGATGAGTCTGGAGCGTAAACCCTTAACCTTAAAAACCATGATCCTAGGTAGCCCATGCCAACCTGCCCAACATGGGTTGGAGACGCTTCATGCAGACACCAACAGGCCCTCCTACGTTTAAATTTATGCGCTCTAAGCCCTAACCTTCCTAAGACCCTAAGCTCGATCTCCTGAACCCTTAGCGCTGCACTAGGGGCAGAGCAGAGAACTGTCTTTCCGGAGGGGGAGAGGGAGAGTCGTGGGAAGGGGGGGGCACAGGGGGGGGGCACCGGGGGGGCGGGGGGGAGGGGGAGTTGTTCCTGCTCTCTTTTGGCGGAGTGGGGGAAGAGACGGTCGAGCTTCTGCAAGAACGGGAGCAGAGACGGCCAAGGATGGTTGAGCCGTGTTCTACTTGCAAACAGCATCCGGTTGCTCCCAGCCGAGCCCAGCCCTGACGAACACAAGTGAATAAAGCTTCGCAGCGATGGGAACGAAAGCAAGAGAAAGAAACACGTATATCGTATATCCGAATCGGAAAGATCATGTGGTGCCCCGTCCAGGCACCACACCAGCCTCTTCCCCATGGCCGCCGTTGCTGTGCGACGTCCGCAGGACTTTCCCGAGGCCGTTTCCATGTCCCCTTGACAAAGTCTCCATCCATGGTTGTTTGCAGGCAGGCCGTTTAGCCGGCTTGAAATCATGCGGGGTGCTTGGGCGCAGCTTGCTCGTGCCGTCTTGCAAGACCCGTGTGTGAGGTGCAAGCTCCAGCCAAGGGCGCATGCGCAGGCCCAGACAGGTCGGAGATTGCAGCGGAAGGCCTCGTCGAAGGCTTTTGCCAAGCGATCTGCTCTGTTCAGGTTGCACCTGCAGGCTGGACAATGTGTGAATGCGAGGCAGACAAGGCATCTCATTCGAAGTGGGCTTCCACTCCAGTTCGGTGTTGAAATCTCCGTTCAGAGAGGAATGGGTTCTGTGCGACCGCGTTGAAGCGATGGCAGCGACCTGGCTCCTGAAACTGATTCGGATGCGTAGTCGATGCTGGTTGTCATAGGCCCGTACTGTCTAGCAGAAGTATGGGAATGCATATGGAATGCATCGTACCCTGTCTGTTTCCACCACATATCTAGTAGGTTGTTTGGGACGTAAAGTGGCATGTAAAGAGATAGGCAGTTGCCCGCTTCATGTTGCTAGAACTATTTCCGAGGCACTGAAGTGCCACCAACCCACGTGCACACAAAGCAAGCTTAATGCGCAAATGGCTAGCTTGCAACGTGGCACCCGGGTCGCCAAAACGGCGACTTCATTCAATTGCCTGACCAAACCCCGCAGTTGATCTCACGGGAAATTACACGAATTGCACAGTTTTGAGAAGGGCCTGTGAACCGGAACTAGGATGTGGTTCCGAATTAAGTATGTTAGGCACTCACGGGATCGTGACAGTCACACTGCAAGTAGTAGTACACACTGGATGACGAAGGAGGAGTGAGTAGTGTGTATTGTGACTGTGTACTGGTACACCTTCAATTTCATCATCTTGCAGGTATATGTTTGAACCTAAAAACACCTTGAGCATTTTGAGCACCAACTCTTGGAATGAATGTCTCCCAAAATGCATAGCGACTTTCGATGCTCATGGTGCAGGCCTGCACACTGTGAAGACAGCCAGAACTCTGAGCTGAGTTGCAGTCATTTGAGGCGGAAATGGCTGAGAACCTACAAAAGCACCTCAGAACCCACAAGGCCTGGCTTTCGCAACTCTCTCAGATGGCAAGGGGCCAGCGTCAAGCGTAGGTGCAGTATTGTTTTGCAGGAAATGCTGGTGGAGGACACGGATGCAAGCTGCAACCAGGCAAACAGATGTCAAGACTACGAAGCTATGCAACAGAAGAGCGCAGACAGGGTCCCGCCAACAATGCTGCGCCTGATGTTCCCATGATTCAGATGAAGAAGGTTTGGGCCTTGCTTGTGCTGTCGTCTTTTACTGTTCCGGTTTGCCTGCTGCAAGGCAACGGGGAGTGACGTGGAGATGCAATTCGAAGCGGAGGCGGTCTCGAATGCTGCGATGTTCCGAGAGACGACAGTTGCGCACCAGGATGCCCAAGATGCCCATGACCCAAATGAAACTCCAGAGAACGCCTTCGAAGAAGAGGCTCTTCAGTGGTGCCTGGCGAGTTGCGAGTTGTTTCCTCCTCGGTGATCAGGCCGAGACGCTTCCAACGAAGCGGTCAGATGCAAAAGGGGCGAAGGTCCTCCTTCAATCGGGAGTTGTCTGCAAACCCTAACGCCTTTCGAGCGCAGGAAGATCCTCGCGACAAGAAAACCCGTGCTCTGAGCCCAGAAAAGGCTTTGTCACATGGTACACGGATGCAGGTTTGTCACTTTGGTGGCCCAGGGGCTCATCGGACAATCATTCTCCAAAATCTCACCGGGCACCACAGACATTGGTTCTTTCTTCTCAGTGGTCATCCGAGAAGACCCGGAGTACAGGGGACCCTGGGAGGGAGGCAGTGCACTACTCTGTTGAAGGCATGTCCAGCAGATGGAGTTACCACTGAGTTCGAGATGGTTTGTGCACGGTTGCAGTCCCTGCCATGTCAAACAGTCTCTGAAGCGAGCTGTGCACGAACCGTGAGTTGTGCGGTCGTGGTTTAGACCTCAGTTCTTCTTCGCAAAGTCGCAGCCCGCCGGCGTTCTTGAGCTCGAGTTTGAGGAACCTCTCCGCAAGCAGCCTCTTTCCGCATGGGCTACCAGAAAGCCCACCTTCCCATCCGAAGATTCATCAAAGGACGCCCTCTCTTTCCGGGCTTTAGCCGCTTTGCTTCCCCAAGGCCGAGAGGAAGGCTGCCTGGAGAGCGGCCCAGAAGGCTTTGGAGGCGCGCTGAAGGCTCCTCGGTTGCGTGGCCTTTCTTTCCTGGCGTGCAGGGGCAGCAGGGGCAGGGCGATGATGGGCCAGAGAAGGGCAAGGCCAGATCCTCCTTGTCGGGTGCTCTTGAGAATCTGGCAAGCTGCCAGGAGGTGGAGGAAAACCTGCATGGCAAAGCGTGCGCGTGCCAGATTCATGCATGTCTCATTCCGCTCTTGCCGCTGTGATTTCTCTGACTATGCAGGCGTGGTAAGGCACGGAGAAGCCGCAGGGACCAGTAAGAGCACATGGTGGGTGGCCCAAGTTTCCACTTTTCAGCCATCATTCCCCCATGCTATGACATGCGGGCAGGATGTCAAATTCATTCAAATTCCGAGGTACAAGGTTTGTTTAGCAGTGCAGGTTGTACAGGATCTCGAGGTGTTGCAGGTTTTCCTGTGATTGTGCTCAGACATGGTTTAAGTTAAGTCCGTGGTGGCCCTTTTTCTGGAGACTCGGCCTCGGAGTTTTCGTTGTAGATTTGGTGGAGACACTGACAGCTTGGCACATAGGCGTCGTGCACACGAAGCGTGTGACACGACATACCTATCGCTTTTGGTGTTGCCTTCAGCTTCACAAGAGGAACTATTGACAGCTCGACGGATGACAGGCAGCCTAGCACGTTAACAAGGGGTTAATGAATCGCCAAACCAGAACCCGAAGACGCTGCTGTTCGGTTGTGGAAGGCAAGGAAGGCAAAGATTCTCAGGAGAGAGCCTGAAGCTTCTAACACTAAGGCAGAAGGGAGCGAAACAGCATCTGCTAGGACTGCTAGATTTCCTCGTGCAATGTTGCTCTCATGATCTCTCCTGAGCCCTATAGACTCCAAACCCTGTATTCTTTGGCTCTTTGTGTGCACTGCGCGGAGGTCTTGTCACTGGGTGCTGCCCCAAGCTCCGCCTGCGAGGGCATATCATCTTCCCGACTTTTAAAATTGTTTTTGTTGCGGGGTTACCCGCGGGACTGTGCTGACTTGGATACGAACCTCAAAAGCGCCGAATTTCGTGGCTCCTAACTTTTTATCTGTGTCAGCACCAATCAGTGGGTTGGATCTGCAGGGTGCTCCGGCCAGAAGCCTACTACCACTTTTGTGTCAGAGTTAGTAGCTATTGAAACGTGCAAAGGCCGAGAGGTGCCCGGCAGTGTGAATAGTACAGTGCATGCGCAGAGCTGGGCTTTGGACTATGAGACGAAGACTGCCCGCATGTCGTATGGTGGCGCCCCGAGGCCTCTGCTGTGCTGAGTTCTGCTGAGTTCACACGCTCGGCTGGCCTAGGCAAGGTCTATATCAGGATGCTGAGAGTCAGGACCCCAAAAATCGCGAACTACACGCTATGCAAGCATACTCTCGCAGGCAGCGTCCGCTTCGCGGACCGTGTGAAAAAGCTTGGGACACGAGTTGAGATGCCTAGGTCAAAGGGGCCGCTGCGGTTTCGTGCTCAGACAAACTTGCCTATCTCAAGACACCTGCCGCATCCCAATGTGAACTGCAAAGGCCGGACTTTTCGCCGCCTGTGCACGTGCAAGCAGGGACTGCAGAGAGCTAAGGCTAAGGATCAGTGACAGCATCTCGCAACCGTCTCTGAGCTGGTGCGCAAACTTCGTCATGACTTTGCAGCTCAGCCGAGGCTGAAGCAGCATGCTATGAGTCTTCGCAAATCTTCGTGGACCAGGAAAGACTGGGCCCTGTGCAGATAAAAGTGACACTGAGTGGATGTGAGATGCCTTTGTTTGCTTGCGGCTAATGGGTCTTCAGACGAAGTTGCTTGCTTGCGGAAATCGTAGGGTGTGATTTCAGCAGCACCTACGAGCTCCTGCTTGTTCGAAGATCTGCCGTTAGATAGTCGACGATGTATTTGCTATTGCCCATCCTACAGACTCGATGTTCTACTTTTCCAACATTGCAGTGGCAGGGCATGTAAGAGCAAGCTGGTCATTAGTTTGAGGGTTTAGGGTTTAGGGGTTTAGGGTTTAGGGGCTTTGGGTTTCGGGTTTAAGTTTTCTACGCATTTCGATTTGTACAGAAGGCTTTGCTGGAGAATCACACCCCGATGACACTGGCTCCAGCTTGTGGCGCGCTAGGCGTTGGGGTATCGTTATGAAATATAAGTGCATCAGGTCTAGACGACCAGGCCAAGAGGGCCTAACTCTGGCAAGTTGTGCACAAGATCGCTTTTGGGGCGTGTGAGATCCGGTCTGCTTCGCCTGGGGGTGGAGCACATGGCCGAGCTTTACTGGATGGAGTCGGGCAGCTCCAATTTAGGCATCCGAATGCAGGGCTTTGTCAAACAAGAACGAAGCTGCAAACGCAGGCATCCCTGGACAGCTGAGGCAAGTACAAGCACCAAAAGGTTCGTCTGTGTCATGTCCCTGGTCCTGAAGGATGCCAGCTGCTTTGACCCACGTACACACGCCACAGAAGATTTCTTATGCCCAGGCACTGCACTGTCACTCTGCAACTTTTGTGCCAGCATGTCAGCAGATGGGACTGGGAGGCTTTTCGATTCGAGCAAGAGGAGCCTTGCCTCGTGACTCCACCGAAAGGCCAGGCTTCTGCCTTCGCCAGGCAAAGCTTGGAGCCGCATGGCGTCAGGCACTGTTTCTCAGGGTTTTCGCCAGCCAGATCAATGGCGACAGCATCAGGCTCCATTGAAGGCGCTTTGTCCTTGGCCTTCTTCGTTCCGTTACTTTCCACATCTGCGACCATGGCCGTGAGGAGGAGACGAGGCCCGGGTTGAGTGCCGGCGACGCCATCTGCACAACGAAGAGCCGACTTTTCTCCATACAGCCTCTGGCAAGTCTTGTCTCTGCCGCCCGACTCGCCCCGCATCCTGGTATTTCTCCAAGTCTTGTCTCTGGGTTACGGTTACAACATGGCGGCAAGAGACGGCAATCTTGGGAGGCAGTGCGCAGCTCCAATGGGAAGGCTGCCGACAGCTGTCACGTAGCGCTTTCTGGACGGCCTTGCGTGATTTGTATTGCTGTCCTACTTTGCAGGCAGAGCAAAGCGGCCACATGCGATCAAGTGGAGGAGACTCGAGGGTTTCGTGGCTTTGGCCTGCACTATCCTTCGCCGAGCTGGATCTTTCAGGAGACTCTGCGGGACGTGCGAGTTCTGTCATCGGGTGGTGACACCACTGGTTGGGCCTGGCAGGACAGTTGCACAGCACTTCAGGGTGTTGCCTTAAGAGTTTTCTCGGCAGGAGCTGCCAGAGCAAGTGCGGAATGCTTTGCGTTTCCTGCGAACGCTGCCAGCCCTGCCGCACAGCGTTGGAACCAGGTCTCGATGCAAGGCATGCTGGAGCGTGCTTGAACCTCCAGATCCGCCAGGCCTTTTCTCCCTGCCACTTGGCCTCTGGAAGCCAAGCCGACCTTGGTTTTGGATCTGGATGAAACTCTGGCCCCGCCCGCAGCAAGTGGTCGTAGGGTTGTCAGGCCTGATGCTTCCCAGTGCTTTTCGAGTGGCCTGAGGTGCATTGCTGTCGAGGGTCGTCTCCTGTTGACATCATCCGACCACCTGACTTGCAGGTGGAGGCTGCAGTCTTTCGCAGATGCCCCCACGAACATGCAATTTTGCTTGTCGGGCGCCTGTTCAGTTCGATGACGTTGTTGGCTCTGGGCGCGTTTACTATCGTCCCTTCGCACAAATCTTTCTGGAGGCTGGTGCAGGGCAGGGCTTAACTAGATGCAGGCGCAGTTTACGTGACGGAGACATGACTGGCAGGTGATCTCCAGAACGTTCGAAGTTGTGATCTTCACAGCTTCACAGCAATCTTATGCTGACCAGGCGGAGCGCACAACTGAGGTATAGAGGTATACAGTTTGCAAGTGAGTCACTGTGTTGACTGCACCAGCACCGTGCAATCCATCTGCAGTGCGACTCCACAGGTGATAGATGCCTTGGACCCAAAACGTGCCTTTGTTGCTCATCGGCTATATCGCCAACATTGTACGGACTGCTGCGTTGCTTGACGTGGGGAGTGGACCGCAATACAGAAGCACCCGCAGGAGTTTCACGGTGCCTACTTTAAGGAGCTTGGTCTTCTTGGTAGATCCTTGTCCAAGGCTTGAGTGGGACCCCGTCCAGTGGATCAAAACGGATGCCTGCCTGCCAGTGCGTGCTGATCGACAACTCGCCCGTTTCCGTCGCCTGCAATGCCGAGAACAGTGCCTGAGCCTCGGATGGTGGGCCGGTGGCTTCAATAAAAGAAGTAGGGTGCCGCTTGGATCTTTTCACGGAAAGGTCCTCATTCGTAGTTGGTACGGCGGCTTGGCAGACCAGGACCAACCAAAGCAGAGAAAACCATCAATGTGCCACTTCCATGTACCCCTTTTAGCTTTGAGTGTCGTACTTGCCTCTTAATTTGTTCCGAGCGATGGCTGACGTGCTTCTGAAGTGTAGACCTCTTGCAGGAACTGCTTGCCCTTCGAGAAGTGCTGGAGGTGCTCCTGTGGATTTGGGCTTTGCATTTTACCGAGTCGTCTGCCCGTGGCCCGATGCTGCCAGGACATGCGACACTCATCCACTCGAGGATCGAAGCATCACGACCACATGCGCTGCACAATCTTACAGTCCGTCTTTCATGCTGTCCAGGCATTGGATTTGACAGGCGCCGTGCTTGGATGAAAGTGCGGTTGTTGCAGAGTCGCGGCAGCTAACTTTGCCTGAAGGTATTTGTCACGACCCCAGAACCTTCACGACTTCCTGCAGGCAGAGAGCAGTGCTTGGCCGTGTTCTCGCGCCTTGCAGAGTTGAAGGTGCCCTTGGCAGTTCTCCTTCACGACTGCTTAGACTGGCCTGGTCAAGCTCAAGCCGGAGCTGGCCAAGGTGCTTGTTGGTGTACGAATGTTTCCGGTCATTTTTTCCGAACTTGCTGTTGCAGTTGTAGCCTTTGTCGCGCTGAGCTCTGCACGCGTCCTGCCGGCTGCTGGCTTCGTGGATATCCGTCTTCTTCCCTCATGCTAGAAAAACCCAAGCCTCCAAAACACCTTGCAGCCAACACCAAGCCTGCAACACCGCAAACCGTACCCTCCAGTCCCAACCTTGCCGAAACCCAGAACCCCAAACCACGCGCAGCCGTCACACTTTTTCAATCATGGAGCTGCTCCAGACTGTGAAGGCTTGCAGCCCTAAGCAGTTTTTCCACCATAAAAGCCTTACTGCAAAACGCCTGCAACCCTAGCCTTGGAACAGAACCTCAACCCCTGCACTCCCCGCAAAAGCCAAGACGCGTCGCAAAGAAAGCAATGGAACAGAGCATGAAACACAAGTCATGCCCAAGCAACACAAGCAAAACAGATCTGCTCTTGATTGGTACCGTAAGATGTTGAATGTTGCAGAAGTGCAGCATGCAAGGTCAGGGGTGTCGCCCGCGCTGAGGCGAGCCCAGGGGGTTAAACGAACTGAAAGGCTGCTTTGAAGGAGCGCACTGCGCATCCTCAAATTAGTTTTTTTAGTGTGAAGTCTCAGATAAAGCTTCTGAGAATCTTTGGCGGCGGTCATCTGCTGCCCGATACTCGTACTGTAGTCGTGGGACAGGGCTTTGCTGTGAAATCGCAGCCTCTACGATGCAACAGTGGGTGTGTTGCAAAACTGATTGCCTGTCGCAGGTTGTGCATGGCTCCCTCAGGACTTTGGCACACTCTTAAAACCCAGCTCACCCAGTTCAGGAGCAAAAGGGAACGTGCAAGGATGTGCACGGGTAGGAGCGGCTCTCCTCTCGAAACCCTGGCCCGAGCGGTGATCTTTGGGACTTTCTCCAAGGATTTTCATGGCTCTGAGCCCATGTTCGTGTTGATATTGTAGCCGACGGCTCAAGCTCAGTCCAGAGTGTCTGAGGCTCCGAAGCCGCAGGCAAGTGCTTTTTTATTTTTTCAACTCGTGGCTTGTCCTTCTGCCCTCTGTTTCTCCGAGGATGGGTCAGACTGCCTGTGCCGAATCCATCTGCCAGCCGACGGTCCCCTCCTGAAGACTGAGCGCTCTCATTCGTCACGTTCTATTATTACATTATGGCTCTATGGTGTGACTAAAAGGCAAAGGCCAGCACGGAAGCGGAAATCACCTACAGCCAGAGCGACCGCGAAAGCAAGCCAGTAGACAAGGCGACGGTTGCAAACCTGCCAACACTTGAACGCTGTGCTTGGCTCTGGACAGTCGGACAGGTTCCACTTCCAAGGCTGCTGGGAGCAAAAGAGGACTCGGGCAAAGTCGCGCGTGCCTCAGAGTCAAACCCGAATGCCCGTACGCTTCCAGCCGAATGCTTGAAGCCGCAGATCGTCTAAGGGTGAGAAGTCGTCGCCACTGAAGGAGGATTGGAGCGTCGGAGCGATACTTATGTGGAATGCAAGCATCTTGATGTAGGACGAGGAAGCACTTGGAGGTGTTGATCTGGAAGGAGACGCCGAAGCCATATTCCCAGTTCTCAACCTGTCTTGCCTGCCAGTGTTGCTGGATGCTGCCTGCACGACGTAACCTGGTAGCAGCACCGAGGCAGCGTCAAGTATCAGGGTGGAGTTTCCAAGCGCTGAGGAGCTTTTGATCTTAGATGCAGGCAGGCCCGTAACATTCCTCCACGCGAGAGCTCAGAGAGATGCTTTGTGACCAGGCCGCCATAACAGCAGCAAGGAGAGCAAGGCTCGAAAGTTTCGTCGGAGCAACAGGTGGCGACGACGCATTGGACGTGTGTCGATGCCAGGCCCAAAGAAAGCTGGAGAGGTGCGCTGCGTGTGGAGTGGTCATCGCACCGGAGAGTTGGCCCTTTAATTCCGCGACAGTTTTGTTTTGTCAAATTGAATGCCTGGTGCCCGCAATTACAAAGCATCCGCTCTGAAACGGATTAGCCCTGGGCCTTGCAGGGCCGAAGCCCGAAAGCAAGTGCTTCCCTTTCTGCTGTACACCTGCCATGGTTTCTCTGGTTTTGCGAGTTTCTGCGAGTATTTGCGGTTTCTCCTTCTTCTGCGATGCTGTGAAAGTTGTGCAAGGCAGAACGGCTTCCACACCGTAAAGTCAAAGAGGACCTTCTTCTGGAGGCCGCAGTGCTGCCCGTTGAGGTCCAGATAGCAATCAGCTGGCATGTGCCTTCTTGCAGCATGAAGGTCATGGTATCCGCTGCACACTGCTGTGAAACACAACGACCTGGAAACGGTGAGGCTTTTGATCACAGCAGGCCGCACATCTGCACTGCTGTTGATGTCGAGAGCGTGCTGCTTGTCCTCGAGGAGCAGACCCGCAGAAGCTGAACTCCAGGGGTGAGACGCCGCTTTGGTTAACATCTCTGCATGTAGGATGCGTCTTGTATGGATAGTGTCCATATCATATATCAGGCTATCAGTCAAGAGGATGGATGCCGCACAGTGCGGGAGTATGTCTCTTATGGGGACCCCGCGTCTCAGGCCTGAGCAGCTGGCTGAGCGCCAACGGCTCGAAAAGACGTGAGCTCCGATGGATTCCTCTCGATTCCGAATTCCAGCTGACCAGGCTTGAACCGATCGGGTTCTCATGCTGACATCGTTGACGCCCTGCATCACGCGAAGGCATCGGTGTCTAGTGCTTTGCAGCTCCTTCCCATGGTGGTGTAGCCAGGGGAAGCGCAAGAAGTCATCCAAACAACCGCCCGATGCAGAGTCCTCGATGAAGGCCGGAGCACTTTCAGACCAGTCCTGAGCGTCCTAAGTTTTTGACCTCTCTCTGCTGGCGAGTCCTATTACGCAGGGCAAGGCCAGCATGGCCAGCACAGCATCGTCACTGGAGATTACACCCCGAGGCAGCCAACGGATGCTGCAGGGAGGTAGACGGAGCCTACGAAGCAGACTTCCATGTGTTTTTTTTAAGAAAGACAGAAGGTAAGATGTGCAATAGACGAAGACGAGGATGAATGTGAGGGAGAGCGCGAGAGAGAGGGAGACTGGCTGAGTGATGCACCTTTGGCTATGAACGGCGAATCAGTGCATCAGCATGTGTGAAGGGAGAACGCAGAGAGAGAGAGGGAGAGAGGGGTCTTGACCGACCCTATATGTTCGGGAGAGAGAGAGAGAGAGAGAGAGAGAGCCATTTGGCTCAAGCCCCTGCTTTGCAGAGGGCCCTTCAGCTTTCCGCCCTCTTTGTTTCCCTTCCGGGCGACGGCTTTGGCTCCTGGCTAGTGGCTCTGGAACCGGCTTCGGCTTGCTCCTCAGCTTCGTCGTCTCTCCCTCTTAAGCTCTCCTGCTCAACAATTTTGTACGTTTCTCTGCCCTTTTGGGCTTTGGAACCACGGAGGACTGGTCTGACGCTGCTCCGACACTCTCTGACTACAATGTCGGGAATTTGTGGGGCAACCACGGCAGATCAGGCAGCAGAAGGAATGAGGGCTCGCGCCTTAGACGGCGAGCCGAGGTCTGACGCCGAAAAGGGATTAGCTGGCTCCGCTTTGAGAGAGCCTGCACGGGCGGGTACCTGCTGCAAGCGCCGTCTTACGCACTTCTTTGCTTTCTTGATGGTGTCTTCAGCTTGCTCTGTGATTCTCTTGTACTGCTCATCTCTTTCAACTTTGCCTCAGTCATCCTTCCCTGTTTCCTTGGGCTCTCTGAACCTGCGGCCATTCCACTGGACCTTGCCTACGGTTTCTTCGGATGGCTACCAGTCACCCTCTGGTGCGTTCTCTTGCGAGCGTGCTACAAGTGGCTTTGCAGCATCACTTGTGGCCATTCGTCCAGAGGGACCAGTTTTGGAAGCAGGTTGGCCAGTGCCCTTGAACAATTGGTGGGGATGCTTCCTGGTCCGCAAAGAGATACGGCTAGCAGCGAGGAGACACCACTCCACGCAAGAACCACTTGGTTCTTGGTCAACGCTGGCGACAGCGACGTTGCCCAGAAGCTACTGTTCTCCAGAGATCGCCGCCACTGGGTCGACCAGCCCAGACCTGAAGGCCCCCTCTCAGTGTCCTCAGCAGCTCTTAAGTTCCCTCTCGCACGCTGGTTCAAAGCAGCTTTCGTTGCGAAGCTGCAATGCGACATCGCCGATGATCTCTTACGAGAGGAATCTTCTGGTGGCAGGCCAGTGCACACTCAACGGCACAACCGCAATCGCGGTGTGGGGCCCAGAAGAGCTCATTACTTTGAAACCAGCTCCGGAGGCAGTGCTTCCGGTTCAAGCTCAAGTGATGAACAAGAACGAGAGACTTGACTTCGAGGCAGCTGTTGAAAGCATTTCCAGGAGCCTGGCTGCTCGCGGTGACATGGTTCTTACATCTGTGAAGACTGAGTTTCTTAACAGCCTGCATGATTTGAGGCTGTTTGTGAGCAAACAGATTTCTGCGATGGAGGAACGAGTGAAGAAGGTTGAAGGACTGGTTTCCTCTGCAGCCGCACAAACAGTGGACAAGGCTATCAAAAGCTTCCGCGATTCCACTGCTTTGGCTCAGAGCACTACTTCAAGTTCAACCTCTTTCCCAACAACCGCTGCCAGGCCTGCTGAGCGTGTTACGCTCAACAAGGCAGAGGGTGCAAAAGTTCCAGTCACTTCGGGCTGTGGCAAAGCTAGTTCGGTTTCTTGTGCCACTGTTTCCTGCCTTGAGTCCAGCGACTTCGCCAAACTTTGCTCTCTTCTGGGCTTTTCTATGGCTGCTGGCACTCCCAGGCGACTTTCAGATGGCGACACAGACTGGGAAATGCTTGATTGCTCAGACTCCGAGAAGGAGATGGCCCAGGATCTGCAAAGCCGACTCAGCAATGCTGGCATGAGCAACTTGCAGGCCGAATTCTTCACCGCTGCAGCCAAGGCTTTTGAGTCGGTGAGCGGGCCTTGTGCACAAGGCCTTAATGCCGGAGAAGCTGAAGTCAACAAGCTGCTGCTCACAGCCAGGATGCGGCAGCAGAAGCGCCGCAGACCCAGAAGCACAGGGAGCATCTTACAAGGAGATAAGTTCGCAGCTGCGTGGCACTGCGAAGAAGCTCGGATCAGAGGCTCTTCAACTGGCTAGGGAAAGCTTTCCTTCTCTGCTCAGCGAAGGCGATGGCAAGTACCTCTTCATTCTGAACGAAGCTGTCTCTTTCTTGCTCGAGCTTTTGGCGTCTGGTATGTTGGCAGGAGCGAATTGGGCAGATTTCTCACAACATCAGGGCTTTTGTACATCATGGTGGTAGCCTTGCTACTGATAGCCATTGGCAGCACTTCTGCATGGCTGGATGCTTTCAGCTTTGCAGTACTAGCTCTCGGGCTGGTCCGGCCTGTCGTTTGCGGGCTGACCTACAGACCTTCTGCCAACAACCTTCAGGGCACTGATACAGGAGCGGTCTATCTCACCACTGCCACTGGCATGCAAGCCGTCGCTTCATCCTTGGTGGCTTTCGGGTGTTTAGGCAACATCGTTTTTGTGGCAATGCTCCAGAGTGGTGAAGTTTCTACCAAGATGATACAGGGTGCATTCCTTGTCTCTGCTTTGATAGAGGGCGGCTTGGTCTACTGCGGGTTCGCCAGAGCTGCAGTCTGTGGATTTCACTGGCTGCTGGGAGCTGTGGGAGTTTTGATGTGCGCCAGCGAGGCTGCTGAGGAGCTGCTCCTTTTGGAGTACCCTTTCGCAGTGTTGTATGTCAAGCTCTGCACCGCAGCCGCTTTCACCTTCGTTGCCACTTTCGGGTTGATTTCCTCAATTCCTCTCATGACTTTGAAAGTAGTAGTGTGCAGCTTACTCGTTCCGCTCTGCTATTACAACATGTTTGAGGAGTCCAATTTTGGAGATTTAACCTGGACTTTGGACTACATGGTGGGTCCTTTAATAACAGCTCTTGTGTGCGTGTGGCCTACTTGTTTGGCTTACGCCAATCTAAGAACTATTTTCGAAGGACCCGGTTCTATCGAAAGGTCTGTAATTGCGATGATGGCTGCTAACAGACGCGAGATCGACATAGCAGCCTTTGAAGCCGTGAGCTTTTACCGCAACTTCTGGCTGTTAGCTTCTCGTCTCGGAGCTTACATGGGGCGAAGACAAGAATATAATGGCGAGACTCCGAACTCCATCATCAAGGATTTGTCTCTTGGCTGTTGGAGCCTCGACCAAAGCCAATTCGCCTTTTTTTTCCCTGTGTGCTGGTGAGCGCCGCCTTTTATCGCTTTCTTCTCATGAGCGTGGCTTTTGATGCCTGACTTTATTCGACCATTCTTGGCTACATTGATAGCATTGTTTTTTGTGTGGGCCGGCTATTGAGAACTATGTGGAAGAGCAGATAGAATGGTACCGACGCATCATAGACTCTGGCACGCAAGCCAAGTTATCCACTGGCAAAAGCTCTGTGCAGATGGCCTGAAGGGATCAGAAGAAAAGCGCCACCAGCCAAGAGCACAGGTCAGAAAGCGACGACATTGTGCCCAAGGATGATGACGCAGAAGAAGTAGAAGACGAGGAAGACTATGGGGTGGTTTTCACGAAAGGGACTTCCAAAGGGTATTCTACTGTTTTGAATCCCGAAACGGCGGCCACTGCTACTGACGACCTGGAGGCCTTTCAATCTTGCAAGCTGGCATATCTGCTGCAAGCTTCGACCGCTTCTTGCAGCCATGATTTTTGCTTTGCCGAAGCTGTGTCCGAAAACAGCTCACCTCCTGCTGCTTTCTCTTTGAAGAGCGAGCCCAGGTTTGTGTGCAAATTGCTGTCCAAAGGCACATTTTCACAAGGTTCATGCTTGTTTGTGCTGGTGAACTCAGGCCTGCTCAAACGGAAGCTAGGGCTAGCCAGCAGCAAGCAAATTAGCGCCAATCTTGTGTTTTGCTTTACCAATGCTCATGTGGTCGATGAAGGGTGTGACTCTCTCGTCTTTGAGCGCGAGTACAAAGCGAAAGCCTCGGTTTCAATACTTGTGCATGACCCAGTTCATGATTTGGCTGCCTTTGTAGCTCCCTTGCCGATTCCCTCTCCATAGAGCCTGTCACGCTTGGAACAAGAATCACAAGCAAGACTCAGGCCTGTGCCATAGGGTACGGAGACGGTCTATGCATGAGGACTAATGTTTTTGACATTGACCCTCCCAGAAGAGATGGAGCAGTGGCAGACTTCAGCGGCCTGGTCATCCGAGGCATGTCGGGCGGCCCCATCGTGGTTGTGGAAGGCAGTACTGACAATCCTGTCATCACCGACCAAGTTGTAGGCCTTACGTTCGCCAGAACAGACGGCAACACCGGATGGGCTATGCTTCTTGACGCCAGCCACGTGGAAGCAGCACTGGACAGGCTCTTAGAGCCACTGCTGCCTGGGCATTTAAACACCTTTGTTTCCTGGCCCCAAGGACCCTGCTCCCGACACAGCACACCACCACCAGCGCAGGAACCCAGCAGTGTTTTATGTTCCCCTAATGTTTCTATTGCCCTGTCCCTCTGCTTCCTCGGGGACCTGCGCTGCAACAGAGCACCATAGGCCACAAACCGTAGCGGAGCACAGAACACAGTCTGCAAACAAGGGGACACCTGAATAAACCGAAATCCTCCAGCTTGTAGTGCAGCAGCTTTTTTCGTTGCCTCACCCCTTTCCTCTCGACAACAGGGGACCCCACCGGAGCACCCCAAACTCCTGCTCTCGGCAATGCCTGAGAGACGAGCGTGGGGTCCAGCACAGAGAGGGGTTCGGCACAAACGAAGTGAACTAGGCGGGGATTGTAGCTGCTAGAAGGGGCCCTAGTCGGGTACAAGTCTGTTCCGCTTGTGCTGTTCCTTTCACACGTTTCACGCCGACTACAGGGACACTGGACGAAGGCGTAGCGCTTGCGCGCCGGGGTTGTGGGGGTAACCTCGCACC